TGTGTTTTTGTTATGAGGAAAATTTTAGATCCTCGACCGCTTTTTCCCGTTTTTTCCCCTTTGCGGCATTTTGGCGCTATTACGCCCTGGCACACTTTTCGAAGGTTTTTCAAAGTCTTTATAATTACTCGCATTCTTTTTGTTCTAGTGCATTTAGGACCTTGTCGTAGTGATCCAGTGTTGAGCGACAGGAGCGACCCTGTTAAAAACCCCTGTTGCCCTGGGTTGTGTAATATGGGGTTTCTAGATGGGTGGGGGTCTTGTTCTTAGGACCCTTTCAAAGATTTTTATGATATGGGGTGTTAGTGCTATTTGGGCTGTAGTTCTTTGCGTTGCTTTATCCCCCTTTGTGGAGTGGGGCTATGTCTGTTTTTTTTTAGTAACTGAGGGACACCCCCCCTGTCCATGCTCCCTCTCCATAGGATGGAAAAAAGGGTCGTGATAGGGGCTTCTTGAGTTCTGAGAACACAGAGTTCCATGGTCTGGCCCTGGGGCAGAGGATGGGGATGTCATTTATCGCCGTTCGAAGTCATTTTGGGGTCAGGTAACATGGTGGCTTGTGTTAATCAAATTTTGTGGCTTCCTCATAAAAAAATTTATTTTTTTCTTCGACTTCAGTCTGGTTAGCGGCTTGCTAAAAAAATGGTCTATTGGGATTGAGTAGCTCACTCATTTCTTTTGTCATCTGTGTAGGACCCATTTGTTTAATTTGGGCCCAATACGGAGTTGTTTCTCGATTTTTATTTGGCATAGGAGAAGAAATATTTGGGTTTTTTTTGATTTCATTTATGGGTTTTAGTTCTTCCCGCGATTCCTGATCCTAAAGGATTCTTTTAGTTAAGTTCGATTTTCTATTTTTCTGACCCGTTCTCCCCGCGCATTTCAGATTTTATTGACCCCTTTTTTGCCGCTCTGTTATTTTTTCCGTCGCCTGTAAGGGGCGCCGTTTTTTCTATTTTAATTACCCTCCTTTTTCTTAGAGGGGAAAAAGCCTTGGCATCTCGAGTGCCACGAGTTAATCTGTTTTAGGGGATAAGTTTTGGGGCGTGTTGCTGTATATCTTCCCCAGCTTATAACGGTTAGGACTTGGTTTACTTGGGCCCCCTTTTGTTTTTGTTATTGAAGTTGAATTTGGTGAATGTCCCTCGTGACTATCTCATTTTTTCGGGCTGGGGCCCACGCATACATGTCTGAAAACCCCAATTATTTTTGATTGGTATATTTTTTTTGATATGGTGACATTGTTTTTGGTGACGATTTCTGCCATTTTTTCCGCCCGTTTTTTTTCCTTCCTGGCACTTAAAAAAAAACCCCTCCCTTGAGTGGCTGTGGTACCCAGGGATTCCTTGCCTGGATGTTTTGTATCTTTTTTGTCCCCCCTTTGTGGTATTCCCGGAAATTTTAAATTTTTGCACAGTCTTTCCTGTACTGAAAGGGGGCACTTCAGGGTGAAAAAGCTTACAGGGAAGGGGGGTTTGCATTTTCCGTTGTCCCCTATGGGGAGGGGATTTTCTAGGGTGGTCATAGTTGCACGTCCCACTGTTTTTCCGATTTCCATGCCGCAGATACCGAGTGCTAGTATGTGCACAGGGTTGGTTTCCGTTTGCCCTTTGGGGGTTTTTGTGCGTTTCCCTGTTGGTGATGTTTCCCGCTTATTCTATCCTCCCCCACACCAACAAGGAGCTCCCAAGTTGTTTTTGGTAATATTCCTCACTATTCTAGTGGAGTCCTCTTGTTTGCTATTTCCTGCGGTATTTCTAGTTTGCAATATTGGTTTTTATCTTATCTTTGACTACACTTGTTTTCCCTACTATGGCTCCTGTCCCCTATGAGGTCATTTATATGTATTCCTTCCTGCGTATAATTCCCGACTACCTGGACAAAATCTCCAGCTTCACCATTACTGTCTCCCAGGACAGCATCTCCAGCTTCACCATTACTGTCTCCCAGGACAGCACCTCCAGCTTCACCATTACTGTCTCCCAGGACAGCACCTCCAGCTTAAACCATTACTGTCTCCCAGGACAGCACTATCAGCCCCCCATTTACTGACTACCAGGACATCATCTCCAGCCTTACAGTTTCTGACTACATGTCCAGTATCAAGGGCAGTACCATTCAGCCCAGACTTTTTATGTTCCCATCTGTTGTAGAAAGCTTCCAGGTTTTCTATGAAAGCAGCTTTGATGTTGACCTCTTTTAATACCCTTGTGATTTTAGTCCACAGATTTATCTCATTTGGGCATACCCAAAAACACTTCCCTGTTTTAATACTGCTTGTAGCTAGTTCTTGGATATCTGCACAAGGGGCGTGACACCAATTTCCACAAAAATGACAATTTATGCATGTGGAAGCCCGTTTGTTTGACTGACCACAGACTTCACACAGCTTCATAATGATTTGAATGGCTAAATTTACTGCAATTCTACTAGCAACCTTTTTGAATATTCTATTAGTAAACCTGCTAGGTAGGCACAACGAAACCGTTTGAAACAGTCTGGGGTTTTCGAACCAGTCAAGGGTTCGGACCAGTCAAGGGTTCGGACCAGTCAAGGGTTCGGACCAGTCTATCTGATCTGATCAGTGGGTCATTATTTAAAACCATACTGGTCGGTGATTTGAGCTAACACATGAAGGATCTACTGGAAATTATCTACCCGAGTAATATGTGATTTGATTAATACAAAATAACTTGCGTGTTGAAGAGCCGGTGACGCGGGCACTCCTACAATGACGAACGGTCGACCTCCACCCTTTTTTATCAATCGCTGTATCTAGCTTTTCTATTTTTTTTCCGTCTCCACCACAATAAATGCTATATTATCACTATAGTTGACTGGTGCAAATTTTGGAGGAAGGACGCTTTTTCTGTAGTAATAATTGCTTCTTGTTGTGTATATTGCGACCGCTGGTAACTACAGGTTATTAAAATTTCCCACAGTATACGTCTGGTATTTCAAGAAAAAAGAAACTAATGAAAGTCACTCCACTTTGTTAATGGCTCACACAATATCTCTGCTCCCTCTTTAAGGACCCATGGAGAGATGTTGTCTGGTCCCACCGCCTTTGAGGTGTCAAGTTCGCATAGCAGCTTCTTCACCTCTTCCTTGGTTATAGGTACCTCATCCAGCACTTGCTGGTGTGCCCCCCTGTTCTGATTTCTTGGAGTCCTACTGGTTTCCACTGTAAATACCTCTTTAAATCTTGTGTTGAGCTCCTGACAAACCTCTCGGTCGTTTCTTGTGAATTCCCCATCACCCTTCCTCAGTCTGATTCCTGGTCCTTGACTGTTGTTTTCCTCCTGATGTGGCTGTACAACAGCTTCGGGTCAGTCTTTACTTTTGTGCTATGTCATTTTCATATTGTCTCTGAGCCTCCCTTCTTATTGTGCATAAATTTGTTTCTGGCTCTTCGGCCGATTTTTTTTATTTTCCTGAGTTCTCTGTCTTCTGTACCTTTTCCATTCTCTAGTACACCTAGTTTTTGCTCCCTACAACCCTTTTGGGGTGAACCAAGGACTCGTTCTGTTCTTTTTCCCCTTATTTCTGTTTCCCTTGGGAACAAACCTCTCCTCTGCCTCCTTGCATTTTGTTTCTACATAGTCCATCATTTCTTGTACTGGTTTTTCCTGTCAGTTCCCTCTCCCACTGAATGTCTTGAAGGAAGTTCCTCATACCTGAGTAGTTCCCCCTTTTGTAGTTTGGTTTTTCCAGCCTATTCCTGCTACTCTCTCCACTTGGAGCTCAACTATGTAGTCGAAGCACAGAACCACATGATCACTAGCTCCCAGGGGCCCTTTTATACATGATACCCTCGATGTCCGAACTACTCATGGTGAATACAAGGGCCAAACCCTTTCTGGTTCATCCTCTCCTCTCTCTCTGGTAGTGTCTCTAACATGTTGATGCATGAGGTTCTCCAGTACCACATCCATCATCTTGGCTCTCCATGTTTCGGGACCCCCATGGGGCTCCAGGTTTTCCCAGTCAATCTCCTTGTGATTGAAATCACCCATAACTAGTAACTTTGCTCCCCCCATGTGTGCTCTCCTGGCCACCTCGGCTAGTGTGTGTGTGTGTGTGTGTGTGTGTGTGTGTGTGTGTGTGTGTGTGTGTGTGTGTGTGTGTGTGTGTGCGCGCTCGTGTGAGTGTATGATCCCTTAATATTTGCATTTATAACTCATTACAATTGTGACCAGGTGTGGACGTGTCAGTGGCCCATTACTTTGTAACTTGTTCATGATTGTAACCATGTATAGGAGTGAGGATGATTCATTACCTTTGTAACTTGCCATGATTGTGACCAGATCTACCTGGAGTTCATTACCTTTGTGACTAGTTCATTTATCATAACTTTGGGGTCCAGTCCCTGGACCCATTATGTACCTCTGTAATCTTTTGACTTCCGCCCACAGGATGGGTATGGGGCTAATAATAAACATTAAACTAAACTAAAAACTGTGTAATCAGGAATAGGATAGACATCTGTAGTATCTGGCTTTAGCCAGGTTTCGGTGAGAGTAATGATGGACATACTGGCATGTAGGGAATTTAGTAATGCTGTGAGGTCATCGTAATGTTTGTAAAAATAGTGTAATATAATATCTGTCAACCGTGTGCTTTTATGGCAAATGAAGGTTTTATGAACGAACTGCACTGCATCTGCCCGAAATGCACTGCATGCTAATGTCTTTCTTTTGTGCTTAACAATATTTTATTACATGTTAACAACATTTTGTAATACTGCAGAAAGAAATAAAGTTTGTTTATTATTAAATACTCATTTATGCTTAATTGTTAACTGTTTACAACAATGTTTACCACTGAATATATCATTGCTTAGTTAATCTTAAGTTAATTTTAAGCCTGCCCATAATGCTCTGCATACAAGGGGCTTAGGCATGTTACACTTAACCGCTGTATTTCCTTGTACTTCTATGTATCATGTTCAAATAAATAAATAAATAAATAAATAAATATGAAAACCTTTATGGTAGTGATCCCTGTCGTGACGTCACCAGTATTTACATGGACGGGGTTGTGGTGGTCGTCGTCCTTCACGATGATCACTAATTTGTTTAACAAGGGTTTGCTGCAGGTTATATTCCCTCACTAGAGAAGGTGATTGTAAGGTCACGTTGTATTACCTCATCCTATTTAAATATCTAATTATAGTTATTAATTTATGCGTTGGACTTTGTACTTTCCTTCAGACAAAGGTTTATGTTGGAAATCCAAGACTTACAATGGAAATAAGTCACTTCGCCTTTTTTTTTGGTGGGGGGGAAGGGGGATTTGTTCTAGGTAATTTACACACTATGATAATTGTACTTGTATGTTCCTGTGCCTAAATAAATTTACTAAAGTTTTCTTTGGGCCAGGAAGATTAGTAACCCAGGATAACCCAATAAAGCCATTGCCTGGAAACTGGCTAATTTCCATTGGGGTCCTTTAATCTTCTTCCTCAGGATACGATCTATTCCAGCCACCTAACACTTAGGCACCTATTTACTGTTAGGTGACAAAGGGCAGTGGTGCAACAAATGGGGATAAAATCTTCCCGATATGCAAGTACCTTATATTTATTTTTTCCAATTAATGGCTGATTTTCACTGTATTGATCATTGACCATGAAAGCACAACACTAAGAATTTTTTCATTCATGCTGAAATTCAAATTCAAAATTTAATTCCACATTTACTCTCATGTCTAGATGAAAATTTAACACTTGCAACACTCTCCTGCTGTCTGTGTCTGGTACACAGCCTTGCTTACACACTCCTAATGAATGAAGCTACAGTGGAAATATAAACACTTAAGCAGTATAATGTGATCCTTTATTGACAATGTTTCGCCCACGCAGTGGGCTTTATCAAGTCACAAACAGATCTACCTGGGTGAAACATACGTGGCTATACAGTGGACCCCCGCCTTACAATGGCATCGCATTACATTAAATCCGCCATACGATACATTTGAACGCAAAAATTTTGCCTCACCTCATGTTAAAAAACTCGCCTCACGCGATTCGTCCAGGATGCATCCCGCGTGTGGCCTCAGCGCCAGTGTTTACAAGCCAGCCAGTGCGGTCGCATCCACGCATACATTCGGTACATTTCACCTTATCCCAGTGTTTTTTGTGCTTGTAACCACAAAATAAGTCACCATGGGCCCCAAGAAAGCTTCTAGTGCCAACCCTGTGGTAAAAAGGGTGAGAATTATTATGGAAATTAAGAAAGATTTTGAAGGGTTTGGGGCTAACCCTGAGAAGCCTATACCAGTTGTGGAATCCATTGTGCCTACTTCAAAGATTAAGGAAATGTGTGCAAAGTGGGTTGAACTGCAAACCTTTATGGATGAAAAGCACCCTAGCACAGCTATTGCAAGCTGTGCTGGTGACTATTACAATGACAATGTTGTGGCCCATTTTAGGTAAATCTTAGAGGAACGGGAGATACAGACCTCTATGGACAGATTTGTTGTGCGACAGAGGTCCAGTGACTCTCAAGCTGGTCCTAGCGGCATTAAAAGAAGGAGGGAAGTAATCCTGGAAAAGGACTTGATACCTCAAGTCCTAATGGAAGGGGATTCCCCTTCTAAACAATAACAACTTCCACACTCTCCCCTCCCCTCCCATCAATCATCACCAGATCTTCAATAAAGGTAAGTGTCATGTATTCTATTCTTAGTAGAGTATTAATTGTGCATGTCTTCTTAAGTTTGTGTGTATTAAAATTAATATTTCATGTGGTAAAAAAATTTTTTTTCAGACTTTTGGGTGTCTTGCACGAATTAATTTGATTTCCATTATTTCTTATGGGGAAAATTAATTCACCTTACGATAATTTCGGCTCACGATGAGCTCTCAGGAACGGATTAATATCGTAAGGCGGGGGTTCACTGTATATAGGGTGGGAATGCTGGGTCAGGTGGAGAAAGGTGCACGTGACAATCTTCGGAGTAGAGAGAAGAAGTCTAAAAACTTGGGTAGCTTTTAAAAGAGATTGGATAAAGTACATGAGTGGATCTTCTGCAGTGTTCCTCGATTCTTATGTTCTTATGTGGGATTGCAATGAAGAAGTTTCTTGGCGAGGGGTTCAGCTATGTTATAGAAGCCGTTGTTCTGGTTGAAGTTGTTGGATGTACAGATAAGTGATGATTCCAGGATTCTTCGGTATTGAGTGTTGTCTTCTCTGGCGATAAGTCTTGCATTTCTGTAGGTGAAATGTGTGAATTTCAGTGTTGAACACAGGCATTCCTTGGATCATCAGATCTGCCTGCACACTGGTGTTCTGAAATACGTGTTTGGAGATCTCTGGATGTTTCGCCGACGTATAATTTGCTGCAGTCATTACAAGGGATTGTGTATACCCCAGCAGAGGATTGAAGCTTGTCTTGTCTATCACTGGTAATGTCCTTGATGGTGTTGGATGTGGAAGTAGATACTTGGAACGAGGTTTTGGAGATGTTGGAAACGTGTTTGGTAATGGAGTTGGTGGGGAGGACTATGTATCTCTTCTCGGCAGTGTCTTCTCTGGGTGTGTTAAAGATGTTTAATGCTCGCCTTCTGCAGTCTCTAATAAAGTGACGAGTATTCTTCTTCAAGAACTCACTGCTGCAGATTCTAAGTGCACGTAGGAAAAAGCCTATAATTACACCATGTTTAGTTTTGGTGTCGTGGTGAGAGTAGAAGTGCAGAAGATCGTGTTGGTTGGTAGGTTTCCGATAGAATTTAAAACGAAGCTCATGGTCAGCTTTTCAGAGAAGAACATCGAGGAAAGGAAGAGTGTTGTCGACTTCTTCTTCTAGTGTGAACTGGATGGAGGGCTCGACCTGGTTGAGCTTGTGTTGGAGAGCTTGAACGTTGAAGCGTCTGGGAGTTGTGACGAGAATGTCGTCAACATAATGAAGCCAGGTGACAGAAGAGGGAATAATAGTTGAGAAACGCTCGGCTTCCAGATGTTCCATGTATAGGTTTGCCAGGACAGCACTAAGTGGCGAACCCATGGGTGGTCCGAAAGTCTGCTGAAAGAGGTGATTTTCGAAAGAAACATGTAACGCCAACACATAGTTCAGCAAGATCAATGAAATCGCTGGCTGGAATAGGAAGATCAAGGGAATCGTCAATTTTCCTGTGTAAGAGATCAATGGCTTGTGTAATAGGTACTTTGGTGAATAGGGAAGTTACGTCCAGGCTAGAGAGTTTCTTGTTCCTGATGTTGATGTTGCCGAATGCGATTGAGAAGACCACCCAAGTGTTTGAGATGTGCTGGACTGATTGTGCCCAAGAGTTTAGAGAGATGTTTAGAGAGAATCCCTGAGAGTTGGTGAGAATCACTGCCTATTGCCGAGGATATGGGCCTCAATGAGATACCTGGATTGTGAGTTTTTGGCTGGCTGTACATTTAATCAACTGCAGAAATGAAGACTTATCACCAGAGAAGACAACACTCAATACCTAAGAATTCTGGAATCATCACTTATCTGTACATCCAACAACTTCAACCAGAACAACAGCTTCTATAACATAGCTGAACCCCTCGCCAAGAAACTTCTTCATCGCTATCCCACATAAGAACATAAGAATCGAGGAACACTGCAGAAGATCCACTCATGTACTTATCCAATCTCTTTTAAAAGCTACCCAAGTTTTTAGACTTCTCTCTACTCCGAAGATTGTCACGTGTACCTTTCTTCACCTGACCCAGCATTCCCATCCTATATATAGCCACTTATGTTTCACCCAGGTAGATCTGTTTGTGACTTGATAAAGCCCACTGCGTGGGCAAAACGTCAATAAAGGATAACATTATACTGCTTAAGTGTTTATATTTCCATTGTGTCGGTATTTTATATCATTTATTTCCAATGAAGCAACAGAATGGGAGGAGAATGATTTCTTGTATAGCTAACATTTATGTATCTATTATTGTAAGCTGAGCCTTTCTTTAATGTCAATGTAAATAACTCAGTTTACCTTATTCCTAGTATATCTTTTATTTTAACTGATTTTCACACAGTTGAGTTACTGTGCTGTTTTAAATTTTAACATTTAAATAATAAGATAATACAAAGACCCCAATGGAAATAAGTCACTTCGTCTGACTTGTTTGTATGATAATTTGTGTAACCGTATTTATGTGTCCCTGTATCTAAATAAACTAACTTACATACTTCACTCCCTCCCACCACCACCCCTCTCACTCACCTCCAACACACCCTCCACCATCTCTCCATTTAAGACCTTTTCATCACCCTGTCTTGCCTCTGGGCTGAGGCCCACTTATGCCTGCCGACCATCATACACACATTGTATCTTAAATTTTTCATCACAATTCATAACTAAATTTCTTTGTGAGGGCAAATCATAACTCAAGGGACCACTGTACTGTTATGTAGAGGGTAGTATCTAACACCAGAAGTCATGTACACCCATTATTAGGTTATAGCTTGCCTTACCTCATTATAAGCTCTGCAGTAGGTTGAGAAGTGCTGTTGTACTTGTGCAGTTAGTGAATACAGTATTATACATGCAATTGTTAAGCATGTATAATAAAATATTACCTCAGGTATTTTATTGGTAAATTAATTTATGCTAATTATGTAGATTTATTTTACATTAATACTGTAGTATGTTTTCTTGCTTTACCAGTATTGGGGTGTGAGGAAGGTCCAGGCAGCAGAACTTCAGCAGCAGCTTTACAGATATACTTCAGCTATGATGCTTCAGAGTTATGTCACAGCACTTAAAGAAAAATGAATTTTCGACAGAGGATGGCATGGCTCTGCCTTGCATTTTACTTGGCATCCTCAGTAGCAGTTGTATACTATTTTCTAGATATTGCTGATCAGTATGCTTTATTTTCCCTGGAGCATTCAAAATTGCATCATTCAACAGATTCTAATGTGCCATCTTGGCAGTTTTGGCAACACATTGGAGACATTCCATTTTCTATTTTAGTTATTTTATTAGCTGTTCCATATTTTCAGATTTTTGCAACTCTGTTTTATTGCACGTTGCCTACAGCAAATAAAAATGTAAACAAGTGTCTTATACCTGTTATAGGTTGGATATATTTATTTCAAAAGGTATTTTCAGTTTTCAAAAGTCATGAAAGCATTAAATTAGACAGTAGACCTGACAGCCACCACATTGTTAGTGTGTCATGACTTCTAACATGACTTAACTTTTCAGCCTCATGACTTCCATTTTGATTTTTAGTATTTGAGAGATACTGCATTCATTCCTTTCTTAAGTCACTTGGCATGCATAATACTCCGTACTGTAAATATTCATTTCATATGTTACCTGTTAAAAGTTGGGATTTCAGAGTACGAGACTGTACTATTGTTCATTTTACTCTTTTAAGTCTATTTAATTGGCAGCTTTGAAAATCATAAATATCATGTTTTAGAACTTAAAAGTGGCTTTTTTTTCTTAGTGTTTTTTGTGATAATGTGTCTAATTGATTTTAATTAACAATGTATTAAGAATTTGGTTTAATCAGAGCTTAGCACAGTTCATTTATGATCCATTATGTAAATAAAATTGAAATCCTTACCAGTATGTCAATATTCCAAGTAAAATCAATAGTAAACACACTAACCATAATATTTAAAAATTATTAAGGAAATAAACTAATTGGTATTTATTTGTGAATAAATATTAAGAGAATTTATGGGATGGGTAAGAGGAGGGTGTGAAAGGTTAACATAACATGAGAGGGAGTGTGTGTGAGAATTCAGTAGTAATAGGTTTAAAATTTTTGCAGCACTTTAACCATATAGGTCACACCACTCATAGCCACAAAAAATATATAGTAGACAACATGACAATATATATGCACTCATGTGCAAGTGTGTGAGCAAGTGAGTGAGTTAAGTGTTAAACCTGAAAGAGAAAATCTTCACAACAGGAAGCCAGGAGCACATGCAAACAGGTGGCTATGAGTGAGATGTGTGTGCCTAGTATGAATTTAGTATACTGTACATGTGAATAGTGAATGACTACTAGTACAGTGGAACCTCAAAAATCGAACTTATCACATATCGAACGCTTTGAAAATAGGACCATTTTTTCGGACAAACTGTGTCCCTATTATCGAACGCGCCCCTATTTTCGGACCGCCAGGTACGGGACCTGTCTGCCAGCCCGCTCTGTCTGCGTCCCCGCTGGCACCGTGAGCAGTCAAGCTTTGTTTATGCTTGAGTGAACACTAACCAGCGCTCTCATTCACGCATTTTACGATTATTTTGTTGTGTTTAGTGCTTGTGGGACTGTGAAATAAGCTGCCATGGGTCCAAAGAAACTTGCTAGTGGTACCCCTGTGGTAAAGAAAGTGAGAAACACCATAGATGTGAAGAAGGAAATAATACAGAAGTATGAGAGTGGTGTGAGACTTGTTGAGCTTGCCAGGATGTATGGGAAAAACAAGTCGACCATCGGTTCTATCCTGTCAAAGAAAGAACAAATCAAGGAAGCTGATGTTGCGAAAGGTGTTAATATGCCAACCAAAAAAAGACCACAAATAGTTGAAGAGGTTGAGAAGTTGTTGCTGGTGTGGATCAAGGATGAAGAGATTGCAGGTGATAGTGTTTCAGAGACGATTATTTGTGAAAAGGCAAGGAAGTTGCATGCCGATCTGGTACAGAAAACTCCTGGAACCAGTGCTGATAGTGAATTTAAGGCCAGCAGAGGCTGGTTTGACAGATTTAAGAAGCGTAGTGGCATACACAATGTAAGACATGGTGAGGCAGCCAGTTCAGACAAACGGGCGGTTGAGAAGTTTGTACAGGAGTTTAAGGGGTACATAGACAGTGAAGAATTGAAACCTGAACAAGTGTTTAATTGTGACAAAACAGGCTTGTTTTGGAAGAAAATGCCAGAAAGGACCTTCATCACACAGGAGGAAAAGGCACTGCCAGGACACAAGCCTATGAAAGACAGGCTTACTCTTTTGTTCTGTGCTAATGCTAGTGGTGATCTTAAAGTGAAGCCTTTACTTGTGTATCATTCAGAAAATCCCAGAGTGTTTAAGAAAAACAATGTCTTTAAAAACAAGTTATGTGTCTTGTGGAAAGCTAATCATAAGGCATGGGTCACAAGACAAATTTTCAGAGTGGGTCCATGAAGTGTTTGGCCCCAGTGTGAAAAAATACCTCCAGGAAAAGAAATTGCCACTCAAGTGCCTCCTGTTAATGGACAATGCACCTGCTCATCCTCCAAACTTATTAGACCTCATGTCTAAGGACTTCAGTTTTATAAAAGTGAAGTTCTTGCCTCCTAACACCATTCCTCTCCTCCAGCCCATGGACCAGCAGGTCATTTCTAACTTCAAAAAACTCTACACAAAAGCAGTGTTTGAAAAGTGCTTTGAAGTGACCACAGACACTAAGTTGACCCTAAGAGAGTTCTGGAGGAATCACTTCAGCATCTACAGCTCCATAAGCCTTATAGGTAAGGCTTGGGAGGGAGTGACTTTCAGGACTCTGAACTCTGCTTGGAGACAATTGTAGCCAGATTGTGTCCAAAAGAGGGATTTTGAAGGGTTTGAGGCTGACCCTGACCCAGCTCACCCTCTGCCTGTTGTGGACTCTATTGTGGCATTGGGGAACACCCTGGGGTTGGAGGTAAGTGGTGAGGATGTGGAAGAGTTGGTGGAGGACCACAGGGAAGAGCTAACCACTGAAGAGCTGCAAAAGCTTCATCTGGAGCAGTATCAGACCACAGCTGAGGAACTTGCTTCAGAGGAGGAGGAAGAGGGAGTGGATGAGGTGCCTTCTTCGAAGATTAAGGAAATTTATGCCAAGTGGAATGATGTCCAAATGTTTGTGCAGAAGTACCACCCTGAGCAAGCTGAAACAAGCCATCTCTGCAACAAGTTCAGTGACAGAACCATGTCCCATTTTAGGGAAATGTTAAAGAGGCACCAGAAACAGAGGACTGTGGACAGTTATTTTGTGAGACAGGGGTCCAGTGACTCTCAAGCTGGTCCTAGTGGCATTAAAAGACAGAGAATGGAAGTAACCCCAGAGAGGGCTTTACCTGAAGTCCTCATGGAGGGGGATTCTCCTTCCAGACACTAACCCCAACTCCCTCTCTCCTCCTCCCTATCTTCCAGATGCCATCACCAATCTTCAATAAAGGTAAGTAAAAATGTTATTTTATATGTATTACTATACATAATTAAAAACTATAGTATTTGTTGTATGTAAAACTGTAATTAATTTCTACAAAATGTATTTTTTGTGTGAATATTTTTGGGTTTCTGGAATGGATTAATTGTATTTCCATTATTTCTTATGGGAAATATTGCTTTGAATTTCAGACTTTTCGAATTTAGAACTAGCTCCTGGAACGGATTAAGTTCAATTTTTGAGGTTCCACTGTAATACATTACTTCTGTATTCATATGAAAGACTTTACAAAGGGTTATTGATGTATAGACAGTAAATATAACAAATATTTTCCAATGAATTTTGGGCAATTAAAACAAAATAAATTACTGAACATTAATTAGTGTAAGGTAACTTATCATTTTGGGCAAGACTGAATCTATTAATAGAGCACTACAGAACTACCCTCGCGGTGCTAGGAATTCTCATGATTTCCTAACATTTTGTGCAGTTAATTCGCTAGATTTCTTTCTTCTAACCATGGGTCCTAAAAAAAGCAAGTGCAAAGGACTAGGTGAGTACAGTGCTGAGAAGAAAAAGAGGATGATTTGCATGGAATTAAAGCAAGAAATCATTGATAAGCACAGACTAGGTACAAGGGTTAAGGACTTGGCAAGTGAGTACAAGCATAGCCCCTCTACTATATGCACAATACTAAAGCAGGAGTCTATAAAGGCTATCATGCCAGCAAAGGGTGTTACAGTAATTTCTAAGCAGCAGACCTCTGTCAATGAAAAGATGGTAAAGCTGCTGTTGACATGATTGACAGAGAAACAGCTCACAGGAGATACGTAGTGTAGTGAGATAAACATAAAAATTGTACATAACAGTTCTTAAGAAAAGTGTGAACTCCTGACAGGATATGCCGCTCTCCATTTCTTCTCCAAGGTATGTAAATGCCGTATGTACACCAGATCTAATTCAGTTAGCCTCACAAACTCCATTTCTCTTGTAATAACACCTCTGACGTTTTCATAGTGAGAATTGCCAACCACTCTTGCGACCACAATCCTCCTCCCTCTGCTGTCCACATAATAACATATTTTATTCATTCTATAGTGTATATCAGGTTTCTATGTTATTTATATTGTTTATTATGTCATATTAGATGAATTGTGACAGATAAATAAGCCATAGAGTTGATATTAGGGTTATTTTGTCATGCCTCCTGAGAGCAGGAATTCAGCTGGAATGAATTAATTGCATTTCACTTTAATTTAAATGAGAAAAATTGACCCAGCATACGAACAAATCAGGATATAAACAAGTCCACGTAACGGAATTAAATTCATAAGCTGAGGTTCCACTGTATTATTAAAGATGTTGGCAGGTGAGGAATTCAAGTATAGCCTCTCCTCACTTAACGATGGGGTTATGTTCTCAAGAGTAGGTCAGTGAGTGAACTGGTTGTTAAGCAAGAAGCATTCTGTACTGGTAGGGAATCGGGTCAACCATCTTTAGATATTATTTTAATGTCACCTTTGCACCATTTATAACATTTCTGGTATATTTTTAAATGTTTATACAGTAGTGTACTGTGTACTTTAATAAACAGAATAGATGAAATCAGCTCTAATATACATTATTTAGGTTTGGATACTGGTTGGAGAGCCAGTCACAAGTCCGAGCGATCGATAAACGAGTACGTCACTAAGTGAGGAGAGGCTGTAGTGAGTTCCAAATTTTTGGGACTTATTTGCATGGAGTTTTTGAACAGACTGAGATGTACATGTGGAATGTCTAAGACACTTCCATGTGCAGTAGTTCCCCCGTATACGTTCCAAGACCTACCACAGATACCCAAAACAGTGGATAGTAGTGAACCTAATTACCTGGAGTTTACCTGGAGAGTTCCGTGGGTCAACGCCCCTGTGGCCCGGTCTGTGACCAGGCCTCATGGTGGATCAGAGCCTGATCAACCAGGCTGTTACTGCTGGCTGCATGCAATCCAACGTATGAGCCACAGCCTGGATGGTCAGGTACCGACTTTAGGTGCTTGTCCAGTGCCTGCTTGAAGACAGCCAGGGGTCTATTGGTAATTACCCTTATGTATGCTGGGAGGCAGTTGAACAGTCTTGCGCCCCTGACACTTACTGTGTTGTCTCTTAACGTGCTAGTGACACCCCTGCTTTTCATTGGGGGGATGTTGCATCGTCTGCCGAGTCTTTTGCTTTCGTAGTGAGTGATTTTCGTGTGCAAGTTCGGTACTAGTCCCCCTAGGATTTTCCAGGTGTATATAATCATGTATCTCTCCCGCCTGCATTCCAAGGAGCACAGGTTCAGGAACTTCAAGCGCTCCCAGTAATTGAGGTGTTTTATCTCCGTTATGCGTGCCGTAAAGGTTCTCTGTACATTTTCTAGGTCAGCAATTTCACCTGCCTTGAAAGGTGCTGTTAGTGTGCAGCAATATTCCAGCCTAGATAGAACAAGCGACCTGAAGAGTGTCATCATGGGCTTGGCATCCCTAGTTTTGATAGTTCTCATCCATCCTGTCATTTTTCTAGCAGATGTGATTGATACAATGTTATGGTCCTTGAAGGTGAAATCCTCCGACATGATCACTTCCAGGTCTTTGACGTTGGTTTTTTGCTCTATTTTCTGGCTGGAATTTGTTTTGTACTCTGATGAAGTTTTAATTTCCTCATGTTTACCACATCGGAGTAATTGAAATTTCTCATCGTTGAACTTCATATTGTTTTCTACATAATCACTGTCTTAGCAGAGGCACTCAGATACGGAAGTTTAGAAGTCCCTCCAAACTGCCAATATCCCAAACTCCTCCTTTAAAGTGCAGGCATTGTACTTCCCATTTCCAGAACTCAAGTCCGGCTAACCGATTTTTCTGAATCCCTTCACGAAATATTACCCTGCTCCCACTCCAACAGCTCATCAGGTCCCAAAAACCATTTGTCTCCATTCACTATCTAACACAGACACACAAGCTTGCTGGAAGTCCAAGCCCCTCGCCCACAAAACCTCCTTTACCCCCTCACTCCAACCTTTTCAAGGACAACCCTTACCATGCCTTTCTTCCCTTACAAGTTTATACGCTCTCCAAGTCATTCTACTTTGATCCATTCTCTCTAAATGACCAAGCCACCTCATTAACCCCTCTTCAGGCCTCTGACTAATACTTTTAGTAACTCCACACCACCTTCTAATTTCCACACTCCGAATTCTCTGCATAATATTTACGCCACACATTGCCCTTAGACAAGACATCTCCACTGCCTCCAGCCACCTCCTCGCTGCAGCATTTGCAACCCATGCTTCGCACCCATGAGAGAGTGTTGGTACCACTATACTTTCGTACATTCCCTTCTTTGCATCCATGGATAAAGTTTTTTGTCTCCACAGATACCTCAATGCAACACTCACCGTTTTTCCTTTATCACTTCTAAGGTTTTAGTTAGTTTAATATCTTTATTATGCACCCCATGCCCATCCTGTGGGCGGTAGTCAAAAGATTACAGAGGTACATAATGGGTCCAGGGACTGGACCCCAAGGTTATGATAGCTGAACTAGTTACAAAGGTAATGAACTCCAGGTAGATCTGGTCACAATCATGGAAAGTTACAAAGGTAATTTACCTGGAGACCTGGAGTTTACCTGGAGAGAGTTCTGGGGGTCAACGCCCCCGCGGCCCGGTCTGTGACCAGGCCTCCTGGTGGATCAGAGCCTGATCAACCAGGCTGTTACTGCTGGCTGCACACAAACCAACGTATGAGCCACAGCCCGGCTGGTCAGGAACCGACTTTAGGTGCTTATCCAATGCCAGTTTGAAGACTGCCAGGGGTCTGTTGGTAATCCCCCTTATGTAGCAGTTGAACAGTCTCGGGCCCCTGACACTTATTGTATGGTCTCTTAACGTGCTAGTGACACCCCTGCTTTTCATTGGGGGGATGTTGCATCGTCTGCCAAGTCTTTTGCTTTCGTAGTGAGTGATTTTCGTGTGCAAGTTTGGTACTAGTCCCTCTAGGATTTTCCAGGTGTATATAATCATGTACCTCTCCCTCCTGTGTTCCAGGGAATACAGGTTCAGGAACCTCAAGTGCTCCCAGTAATTTAGGTGTTTTATCTCTTGTTATGCACGCCGTGAAGGTTCTCTGTACATTTTCTAGGTCAGCAATTTCACCTGCCTTGAAAGGTCCTGTTAGTGTGCAGCAATATTCCAGCCTAGATAAAACAAGTGACCTGAAGAGTGTCATCATGGGCTTGGCATCCCTAGTTTTGAAGGTTCTCGTTATCCATCCTGTCATTTTTCTAGCAGATGCGATTGATACAATGTTATGGTCCTTGAAGGTTAGATTCTCCGACATGATCACTCCCAGGTCTTTGACGTTGGTGTTTCGCTCTATTTTGTGGCCAGAATTTGTTTTGTACTCTGATGAAGATTTAATTTCCTCGTCATTACCATATCTGAGTAATTGAAATTTCTCATCGTTGAACTTCATATTGTTTTCTGCAGCCCACTGAAAGATTTGGTTGATGTCCACCTGGAGCCTTGCAGTGTCTGCAATGGAAGACAATGTCATGCAGATTCGGGTGTCATCTGCAAAGGAAGACACGGTGCTGTGGCTGACATCTTTGTCTATGTCAGATATGAGGATGAGAAACAAGATGGGAGCGAGTACTGTGCCTGTTGACTACTACTCTCTGTGTTCTGTTAGTGAGGAAATTATAGATCCATCGACCGACTTTTCCTGTTATTCCTTTAGCACGCATTTTGTGCGCTATTACGCCATGGTCACACTTGTCGAAGGCTTTTGCAAAGTCTGTATATATTACATCTGCATTCTTTTAGTTTTCTAGTGCATCTAGGATCTTGTCGTAGTGATCCAATAGTTGAGACAGACAGGAGCGACCTGTTCTAAACCCATGTTGCCCTGGGTTGTGTAATTTATGGGTTTCTAGATGGGTGGTGATCTTGCTTCTTATTCAATTCAATTCAATTCAATTCAAAG